TAAGTAAAATATGATTCGAAGTACTTGCATTTTACTTTTACATTCACACTATCAATATACAACGGTTTTAATATGCACCAGGGCGCACTAGTACGTCCACCGAATTCGCTATTAGATGTACAGAATCGTTCTATGAAAAGCCTTTCAAGCCTTTCTATGCTCTTACGCAGATAACTCACTGACCAATACTGAAAGAGTTAAATTATAATTACTTATTTGAATTATTAAACGTTAATTTGTTCAGTACTTTTAAATAAGTGATTACTGTCTTTCAGTAAGAAATTATTGTAGATTTCTGCATGCAAGGGTTAAATTTCTTTACTCCAAAATGTGTCATCTCCAGGGTCTTAAAATATCTCGATCCGTCATTGATCACATCTCTCTTCAGCTACTTCCTTTCCCACATATCAGTTACAAGAATGAAAACGTCTTCGCTAATTGTCACATTTCATTCTCTTGTAAATTATTTTCGTCACATTGTGTGGAGTGACTGTAAAATAAACTCTCACAAATTCGCAAGGAGGTTAAACAGAGTCTCACGCGAAGAAACCTATTGTTTGCGCCAACACGTGGATCGATTTCACATGAACCTTCCACGCTTTCGACGTGTCTCACCGAGTTCGGTCGCTTGTTATTTTTTCTGGCTTCAATGAATATTCGAATATCCACAGGGGTGAGTTTGTTTCTCGCCGCGAATGTAGGATATATGTCGCGGGTGAGACGGGAAACGACCCCGTCGGTCGGTTGCGGACGGACGCGGACGGCGGGGCGTCTAGACGCCACGGCGCCTGTTTTCAAGCATCAAATGCTTGCGGAAATGCGGTCGATGCTTCGAGCTTTCTTGCCTTTCTCCGCAGCTTTTGCTGTAGGAGTTTTGCTGGCGCCACGCCGTTCTCGTTTGGCCGCAGTTTCTCAAACGGATTGCCCGATAAAAAATTAACGTGCATGTCACAACTCGTTAAATGCTTCTTTGGAAGAATATATATAATGTGTGCATTACATTAAACGAGTCACGTTTTCTGTCGTGTCTTTAAATTTGTGTAATCTTTGTGTAATGCAGCTCTTCATGTTAAGTCTGTTCTTTGTGACTGAATTGTAATATATACTTGTTGTATGAAATATATATAGGTAAGTATAATAATATATTTGAAGTTTGGCGAAAACAAGATCAAAATTTTTAACCGCAATCCAGTGCGGTTACAAAGAAGCTTTTGACTTTTTTCTGTACATTCTTCGTCAATAGGCAAACAGAAAATTATAAAGAATAATGGATCTCTCATGATATTAATTTACGTATTCTTTAATAAATAGATATATATATATTGGAACTAAAAATTACTGATATTTTTCTATTTAAGTGATAGATTTACGATATCGCAACTCAAAGAACACATCATGTCAAGAAAAAGTCAAATCGTCTTTATTTTGATGTCATGAAAGTCAAAATGATAATTGTTTGTTACAAAATTCGACAAAAAAATGTTTTCACTTCTCTTCATAATGAAAAGTGCAAACATCAGTTTTTTTTAAAATCATATCATCTTTGTGTGTGTGTTGATAAAAAAAGATACAGATAAAAATAAGTCACTTCAACTCTGCAATATTAGCTGTACAAAAATAGCGACCGACGAAATTTTCACCCGGGTTCAAATGACCCACTTATGTGGTTGAGGGGAATCAAAATAAAGTCATTTTAATTTTTTGTCTTTTGTGAGTTACTTGACAATTTATTACGCACCACTTATTCATATCAAGTTTCGGGCGCGACATCGTTTCCATCTTCCTCACATTTCAAGCTTTTTGCCAGTATTCTTATCCCGTAGAATTTCATTCGCTCGATTAAATCGGATAAAAACGGCGGGACGAACCGTTCCCTGTGTGATGCTCTCAGAAGAGAGAAGGACAGAGAATATTTTTAATCAGACAATGTAGGTTCACGCGAATCGCGACGGTGCTATAAAGGCACCTATCGCCGAATCGATTTTAATCTCTGTAAGAGACTTTGGGAGAGAATATGCGCTTATATTCAGATTGAAAATGTTACGTCGTGTTGCACGTGCTGCAGTTGAAATGCATTTAATGGGCGGCGGCGCTGCGCTTGAAGGCAGGAGGCCGGTTATAACCGAAGTTAAATGTTTTGTACCGTCACCTCTCCTGTCGTGTGTGTGCGCGATCGATCAGACCCGGTTTACGACAAACTCGGATAATAATTCGAAATACATGAATCACTTCGAATTGCTCGCAAGTTGCATGTTGCACGTATATACATTTAAACGCTATAAATAGACCAGAATGATAAAAGACATTATTTATTACTTAATATTATGAATAAAATTAGAGAGGCGAGAAAGAAAAATTGAAAGATGAGGAGAAAAGGTGGAAATGAAAAGGGATAATTCTAATTAATTCCAATTAATGTGAAAAGAAAATATCACGTAAGTATTATTACCGATCTCCTTCACTTTTCTCTCCTGTCTTCACGGAAAAAAAATTCCCGCAGTCATGAATCCGTACACCGTCTGAACCTTCCGGCGGTGCTTAACTGCATCATTTACAGAGCTCGCTCGTCCAAAATGGACGTAAAATTTCGCGAATGCGCGGCGTCGAAGTGAAACGAGAGGAGAGCGTCGCGCAGATTAAAGAACATAAAACTTGGTTGGGTGGTACGTAATAAAGCATCCGCCTTCCACCGCTCTCTCTCCTACCTTTTTCTTTCTTTTCTTCTTCCACCCGCGAAAGCTCGCCTTACGTCTAACGGGCAGTTTTGCGCTCACCCCGACGTCTCGTTTCTCTCGCCGGGCGCTTGAATTACGACGAGTTTTCCGCCTTACTGTCTATTTACTGCGTGCTCGCGTGCCACAGGTAATACCACTGGTCGGCCGATGGGGGAAAACCACATGAAAAAAAAGCTCGCGCAGTGAATTCCCAGATACTTTCGGCAATATTTACGGGGTGGACCGTCGCGTCGCCCCGCAGAATTTATTTAATTATAGCGCGCGACCCGCATTGCATACTCTCTGCTTTATTAGAGTTTATGCCAATTTTCACGTGTGCCTCGGGCAGTCGGGCACGTGCGAGCGGAACCGCAATACTGATATCAATTACACGATGTAGAATCGATGTCGTTATTGGAATTTTTGGTTCCACAGCACTACGGTTTAATCAAACCGAAACGCGCCGAAATTCTGTAAAGATATGTATTTCCAATGGATTGTAATTTGATGGCTATTTTTTTTTTCTATAATACCAGACAGTGGTTTTATAGTTTTATAGTACGTAATTTTGTTTTTTTCGTTAACAATGTTGTAACCAATAAGTTGATTATCGGTGTTGATTGCATATTGCATAGCTATACGTTTATTTGATATTGATTGTACAAACAATGTTTTAAACAATATTAATTAGCTGACTTCTCTTCGATCTATATTATGATGAATTTATTATTTTCCGTGGTCTCTTATTCTTGTTCCCGATAGAATCGTCAAACCGCATACGTTTTTTATATCGGATTTTCTTCCGAATCGGATAACGTGAGGTATGTGCAACACTATATATTCTCCTCTGTATTGGCGCCATGAAAGAAAATTCTAGAAGATACAGCTTTCTTGGATGGGGTTTATACAGTTATAAATTAATATATAATACCGCTTCTTACACGACAATGGACTTTGAATGGCTCTGCTGATGTGTATATAAAAAATATGCGTATAGCAATGTAGGATCGAAATAAAAAGTGGATAGGAGCTTTATCTTAGTGAATGTGAAAGTTTCACTGAGCGTGACATTAAAACATAAAGCGACATTGTCATCTGGAATGGAAGCTCCCTTGAATGATAATTCTCTGACGGGGACAAATGCGTCGTTAACGTCAACATGTTCAACGAGTGCACTTTCGCAACGTGGGAGTTCACGTTTGACCTTAACGTCCACGCGTATTCAGTTAGGAACGTCAATGTGTTATTTATTATTACCTTACGATGTGTAAATGGTTTTCATAAATCGACACGTGCATGTATCAAAGGTTACAAGATTAATTCTGAGTATATTTCGCGAAAATTAGGTAATTGAAAAAAATTAATTATTCGTTGAGCCCAAATCTCAAGTCGGATTCCAAGCAAATATTTATATCTTTAATATAATTATTGCGAATATTTATTAAAATAAGTTTTTCATCAGTTCCTTGTTCTAATTGAATAACACTTTCTGCTAATCTCCATCTTAGCATATTTTATATCTATGTTAGTATAATATTCTTTTTTTTTAAGGCGTCGTCAATTTCTTCTTAGTAAAGAGCACTGCATATGCATTCATTTATCGATAAAAATACGTTATACAATACTCATAGGCTAATAATTCTTATCGCTGCACATGTCGGTACAGCTTGACGACAGCAGTGTGGATAAGACAGCGATAAGTAAAGTATGGCGTGCGACACACGATTTTCGCTCCAGAGACTGTCGCCGTGACAGCGGCGGAATCCCCAGGATTAGGACTCAAGCTGGAAAGAAAACAACGGCGGTTTTGTCATTCGAGTAGCGTAAAAGCGCTAGAAGGAAAAAAAATCAAGGGTGCGCACATATTACGCACACTTGACGCCTCGAATATCTTTGCTGTATTCAAGAACGAACATCGAGTCTGGTCGCGTATAGATATTTATGACCTTTTTACGGTTCTGTTTATTCGGCTAAACAACTCGCTTGGATTGTGTACTGCGTGTTAATAAATCGTAATTCTAGCTTATCCGTGCTTAATATTATATTGTAACTATTACAGGAAATTTATCGAATATTGAATTTATATGAAAATATAGAGCGCTGAAATCAATAAATTGTATTGCATTAGCATACAATGCGTCATCGCATTGTTGAAACATAATTCGTAAAATAAAAGTCAAAGTAATTTGAATTAAATTACGAATCAAACAGAGATATTTACAATACTTTTTCAAATAGAAATGTTAATAAGTATTTACATTTAGTACATATATGATCAGTGGCGCGACTTAAGATTACAATTTCATGGGTCCTGCTGCGACATTGCGTTTCGTTTTATAATTTTTATCCTAATCTGTGGCTCGTAAAATAGAGATTGCGCGAATATCGAGGAATTTAGGATGTGTGAAGAGGCTGCCTTTGCTCTTCTCATGCAGTCTGTGGAACCGGAGATGGTCCGGGAGCTCTTGTCGTAAAGACGGGCAGGCTGGAAGTATCACGTGCGAAGCTAACATGTCCTCGGAGAGCTCGGGGTAGCTTCTGTGTGTGTTTAGCTGGCGTATATAGTCTACACGCATCTCTCTTTCCGTTATACTGTACATATATGCACGGTGTACATGTGCGTGATGTACATATGTATGGTAAGCTCTTGCTTCCGTCGAATCTTTTCCGGCTGTAAAACGCCAGTCCTGTAAATACAAAAAATGCGTCTTAACTCACTCGCAAGCTCGGCATGTACGACATGGTACATTTTAAAGCGGGGCAAGTCAATATATCGGCCAAAGTATGAATTTTAGATCTTCGAGAAATATTTATTGAATTTTGGAAAATGGTGATTTAATGGTGTGTCTTAAGAAAGACATCTTTTCGTTCTCCAGGGAAGTTTATGTCAAAATTGAAACACATTTAACAACGTTTTAAGATCTCTCTCTTCATGTAATTTTAAACACTATATACAATATATTGGTATATTTCTAAAATTACCAGTAGTTACATTAACAAAAGTGCATTCGCGAATAACTCTGTGTAAGTACGATATATCCACATGTTATGTTTATATATATTATAGAGGGTTGTATGTTAGAGGGTCGTATGTATATTATACTTAAGAGAAACTAGGGTAAAACCAGCGTAAGCGGATCAAGCTGGGAATATTCGCTTATTTCGCGAGAGGTAGGGGAAACCCAATAAAAACGTTGGATATAAAATCGAATGGCTGATGAGTGACATCCCAGATAACATTTATGTTGCATAAGATATCTAACTTATATCACACTGATTTCTTAATAAAATTTGTCAGCTTGATTCTTTATAAATTTAATCTGAAAGATATAGATTATTAAATTTTGAAGGGGACATGCATTATCATATTCTATTCGTCTAAAATGTGATGTCAAGGGAGTTTAAACATCGTACTTTTACGATTACATGAAAAAGCCTAGAAATCAAAAAGAATTACTATATTAAACACTTTTATCACACGATTGCTCATGTCTTTCTCGTTCGATTTATATGTAGAACACGAAATCGTTAAAATCCGAATTTACTTGCTGCTATATAACCACTGTTTGCACAGAGAAAACGACGATCTCATCTCAAACGGTAAAGAAAATGTATGACGGTGGTCCCCGTCTTCTCTCCGACGGAGATCGAATGTAACCCGATTCAGCTCTCTGTCAGAGTAACGAAGCTCTTTCGATTCCGCTCGCATCTCGAACGTGCCCGAGGAGAGTATTCCGTGCCATGCGTTTAGTACAACATTTCGAATGTATGTATACTCGAATTCTCGATACACTGGAAAAGTATCCAGCGCCGGACAATGCAATGCATCTCTCGGGGGACCGGACATGGACGATGCAAAACGAAGGGTTTCTCGAAGTTCTTTATCTTTATTTCTGAAAACACCCCCGCGCTCTACGTATTCGTGCAAAGTCGAGTGATAATTCGTTTGCAATTTCGCGTGTATACGGAATGTCTGAATGCTATACCAGAAATGGCACAATTCCGTAACGTGTAACAGGGCTTGTTTCCGCGTTCAGATTTTCTTCTCCAACCACCCCGCCCTCTCTTTTGTCTACCGCTGCGTCATTAAATCTGCGACGCGTCGACTTCCAGCACTTTCGAGCCATTTGAGAACTCGCGTATTGCGCATTCCGCCCTTGCATGCAGATATCTGTACCCCGTGCTCGCCACCCGCCTCTTCCTTTCTCAATCCTTCCACCCCTCTCACGTCCCTCGGAATGAATGGACGAGCTCAGGCGACCGTCGAGAACGAAAGACGCTTTGCCATCGTGACGCTTGCTCGGGGATCGGTGAGATTCTTCGCGAGGGTGAGAATTTGAAAAGAGCCTTTATCAATTATATGTCACCTTTTATTTTACTTATCGCCGCGTGTTACGTCGCCGTTCCTGTGCTCAAAGAAAATATAAATAGCGCGATAATTCTTAGAAAATATATTCTAACCAACCGCTGCCAGACACACATGCAATTTGCATTTAAATGCAAACAGCTGCGAGTTCACAAACTGATTGTAAGGAGATTGACACAAGTGCCAGGTATATTGACCTATCGATTGTTTTTAACGAACGTACATACACTGCACTCTCGTTGCAACATATCTCCTCCAATCAAAAAGAATCATCCGCTTCTATGAAACGTTTCAATTAATATCTTCACGCTTCGCTTCAGTCGCACAATAACGAACAGATAGAAAATAAGAACGATGCAACATAGATAACAACACAACGTTAATACATCGTCAATATAAATCGAGATTTTTATTGGACGTAAAAACAATTCTGTGTCGTCGTATGTTTTTCAACGTTAACGTTAAGATGTGATAATTTATTTACCTGCAAAAACACAGGAAAGACATGCTCTTATGGTTTCTTCTTTTAATTTGTAATTTTATCTTAATCCCCAAGAGAGAGAGAGAGAGAAAGATGATATCATGTAATTTCCTTCATGTAGTCGTTATATTAAACGATTTCCGCGTTTCAATGCCACGCGAAGCGACCGTTTCCTTTCACAGGGAAAATTTCTATTTATTCAGGTACAGAGAACGAGCTGATGTCACGATGCAGAGTAGGAAAATAAAAAAGGAACGCTTGTATGTCGAGCACCAGGCACTCATTTTCGTGCCATTCATACGGTGAAAGGTGGGACAGGTTGAACGCGTTGTTTGTCGCATTTATCATTTGTACGCCGCGCATCGTGCTTCAACAATTCGCAAAAGTGTATTGTTGATCCCGGCGCAAATACCGTGCGACGTTTGGGGCTGCGGGGGACAGACTGTGCATAAATAAGCGTCGAGAGGCTATTTCTAGATGCACAGGAACGGGTTCGGTATGTACCTGCTCGTGCAGTTGCGGCAATGCATATCAAACGTGTTGAATTTTTAACGTAACTATACGCATAAACCTGCGCTCTTTAAGCGGTGAACGAGTGAGTGATAAAAATACGTAAAATGATATATATTTTCTTTTTTCAAAAGCATGAAACACTTAGTGTTTTTTTTTTTTTTTTAATTCAATGATTCTATATATATTGCAACACCAACCTATACAATATGTATGATACATGAGAATAAAAATGAATTTTAAATAAGAAATGAATCATCAAACGGAAAAATTTGAAAAAAATCCAAGCTTTATAAAGCTCTTTGCCTATATAACTGCATACATAATAAATAAATATATAAATAAATTTTTTAAATTGTGTTCTGGTTAAAAAGACAGAAATAGCATTTCGATGAGGCCAAACAGAATTTCTAGTTATGACATCCAGAAATTCTATTATAACGTCAGCAAAATACCTTTCTGATTGAGTATTGTTGTTTGACCGGAATTTCTCAATGCACGTTTCGAGATCGTAAAGATACTCGATCGCGAATAATTTCGTTTTCCGGGTTTTAACTTCGTCGTCCTCTTCTCTGACCGACCTGCTCGAACGCCTGAACGTGCCGAAGGTGAAATTGTAACACCTCTTGAAGCCATCGAGGGACTCGAGATGTTTGATGCGGGAAACTCGGGAGCTTAAATGGACGTGTACATATATACGTACAGTATATACTTGCGTATATACACGCACATATAGCGGTACCAACGTCGGTGTCGCCATCGACACCTTTACGGGCGTTACGTGTGTTCGTTGGAGATCGTAAGTCCATCGTCTGGTATCTGTATACACACAGTAACACGGCATTACAGGGAGGTCCGAGGTTGATACCTAACACACAACCAGCACCATCTGATTGGGCGCATCGAGGTGAGGTGGGTAACGATAACGGTTATCGTTATAGCCTATTCAGTACCTTTGACTACGAAGTGTTAAAGTATTCCGGGCGCCCAGCGCGGTCAGGATATAGGATCGTTATTGCACTAGGAAGGAGCCCCAGCTCCTTTCTACGGCTACACGTACTAGAATTCGTAATTGTATGGTCCACGAATGCGCCCACTCGTCGGCGGATCCTTTTATTTATACAGCCACCCTCGTCAATTTTAATCCTACAGTCAGCGCGAGTGGAATGGGTTTCTTTTTACCGCTCATGTTACATAAATGAGGGTAGCCCCGAATAGCGTCTTATAAGAAGACACGATCAATATTATCGTCAACTGCGAGGAAAAGTTCATTCCTTTCCCACCTTCCTTAATTTCCATTAATTTCCATATGTTATTCTGTATTTTAGATTCTTCAATTTACCTCGCTGTGAGAGTTAAAATTGATTTGGAAGCTTTAACTGTACATTCGGTGTCAAACTGTAGTATCATATATATAATTCTTGTCCAAAGTTTCGTACTTTTCGTAAAACAGAAGTCCTCAACAGAGTAGAGTGACTTCAACCGAGCGAGATAAAATGACAATTCCGGGTTTGCGCTTCAGCTCGGGGCCTCATCTCATTCCTTACGATGTAAGCCCAACTTAGTTGGCTTCGCAAAGCCCTGTGACGAGTTTTCCCGTACTACGAGATACGGTTCGCTCGACTAAGTTAAGCGATTAGACTGACGAACCCTTTGACCCGTGTTCAATCTACTAAAAGTTCATACGGATCTTTACAGATTGTCAATCCCACGATTGCACTACTAACAATAAGATATTAAACTTAATTTCAACCCCGAATAAACTTTTACATATTCATATCTTCTGATGGTATTTTTTTTTAAATATCGGTTGTCTCTAAAAATGTTCTTCATATATTATTGTATTAAATTCATAATGTCCAAATTATATCCAATTTGAGTTATTTTCAATCATTTTTACATATAGGTCTCTATTGCTTCTACTCCATACGTTATTAATTAATCTATGTAAAACAGCGGAGTTAAATAATTTAACTCGAGGAATGTATTAAATTTGACTCAAATTTAATTTATTATTTACCAAGTGCTTACGTCAATATGAACATTGTTTACTTTGAAACTAAATAATTCAACCACAGAAGTGGATTTACTTAATTCATTATTGATAATCTCATTTTCGTTAGCTAAAATTGTTATTTATAATCACAAGCGTTTACTTCAATTTACGAAATTGTCTGTGGGTGCGATCTCTCGGTCTAAAGAACACGTATTTTAAGAGAAACGATCATTGCCACGTATAATACCACGCATTCCACGTAATAAATTTACTATAACGTGGAACCATCCGCACATTCTTGGGGAACCTCGTGGGCAACGTAAATACTTCACTC